GTTTTTGACATCCACCTTGATCATTTCTTTCTTTCCTGTCTTTTTAAAGATTTTTGTTTGTGTGTTTCATTCATGAATGATATTCTGGATGCCATACCACAGTCATCAGGTCTCTCGTTCTCATTCAGAGATCTTCTTGATATGCAGCTGGGAGAGATTCAAGGTCATATATTGGCTCTCAAGGATGTTTTGATTTTCTCCACTTTCCCCGCGAACTGAAATATGAGCACTGGGTAGTCTGATCCACTGTCAGCCACTGGCCTCCGTTTAGCTGATGATATTGAGCTTCTCCACTGACTCTTACCGCACATGTAGATAACTTGATTTCTCTGTATTCCATCTGGAGAATTTCACATGTATTATTGCTGCATCATTGAAAAGTATATATTTGCTCTGAAAAAGTCCTGCTCTTGCAAAATTCCATCATGTTATCTCCAGCTTTGTTTCTATTACCAGGACCCTGTTTTCTAACTACTGATCCTCTCTCTTTGTTGACAAATTTTGCATTTCAATCACAAATATCATTGTGATTGTGATTATCATTGCATCTTGATTGCATGTTTGATCAGGTTCAAATGAGATATGGATAGAATTCTTCAATGTCTGCATCATTTAATTTTGTGGTCGGTGCTTAAATTTTAATAATATTGTATTGATTGGATTTACTTGTACATGGATAGATATAATACTGTCACAGACAGCATTGTCCTTCAAGATAGATCTTGAGATGTCCTGTTTTGACAATGAATGCAAGGTCATTCCACTCGATTGTGTCATTCCTGACAAAGTCAACCATGTGATGTTCTGACTCAAACTGGCCGACACCAGTCCCGTTCAGGTCACTGATGTTTGGGTTCAGGATCTTTATGAGTTCTGTTTTATTTTTAATGAGTTACAATTTTCCCAGAACCATACTTTGTACATTCCAGTTATGTAGCTGTTTGCCTTGCTTCTTCTCATTTTGAGTCATGCCCTTCCATCACATGAAGACCCCACAGGCCTTACTCCCTCTGAGTCATTCTGACCCACTCTCCTTGGTCTTTCTCGGTCCTATTTTGAGTGCCTTGTGACTGGAGCAGCCCTCTGCCGGCATCTCTTGACAGTGTCTGCTTCTAATCACTAAGACTTTACTATCTGACAGTGTTTTGATATTACCCATAAGGTTTCCAACTGCTAATTCCTCAGAAGTGGACAGTCTATTCCTTCTTCATAGTCTGTTCTTCATCTGGAAGCTCTACCAAACCCTGTTCCCTGTGGGTCATCCTGCTGGCATTTAAAATACCAGTGACATAGCTTCCAGGATCGTATTTACACATAAGCCACCCCAGTCCCCGCAGTTCAACAAAGTGGCAGACAAATAGTGTTTGCAGCACATAAGGGCATATTTTGATAAATTGCAAGTATAGAAGTATATACTTACCAGATGTGTATGTATAATTTTATTTTTACATTGATACTTTAATATACATTTCTAAGTTAATATACATTTAATTGAGTATATTAAATTAATCTAGTAGTTACTTATGTGTAAACTTGATTTTTTTCTTTACATAGTACACCTTTTGCCTTAGCACTATCTGTGAATAAATCTTCCTTTTTCCAATTATGTCTTTAAAATATTAATTATTGACTTCGTATATTAATAAATAAATAGTACTGTGTCTCATAAATATACCCCGAGGAATTTAAAAACATGTATGCAAGTGATTCCCTTAGGTTGCATTTTTTGATCTCAAAGAAAATAAGAAAACTGATAAGTGCTTTATTATAAGTGTAGAGAAATTGCTTAAACAATCTTTACAGTGCTTTTTTTTCCTACCCTCATACTGGGGATCTTTATTCCCCATATGCTCCTATTTTTCCCTTGTAATATTTATTTCACTTCTGAGAGAAAGAGATATCCTTGAAGTCCTGGTCCCTTCCCAGATACGTGCAGTGCTTTAGCTATGAAAGAACTGGCACTGGATTAACGCCAAGGGAATTAGCATTAGGCCGCTATTATCAGAAAAGGAAATCCTGACCTTTACCTGTGGCTTGGAACTTAAATGTCCTTTGTCCTACCATGTAACTCTTCCCATTTTAAATAAATTACCTTTCACTGAATATCTACATTTCATAATGCCCAACATATTATCCTTGCTCACATTAAGCAAATGGAGAGTCAACCTCAGTTTCAAGTCTGGTTTTAATTTGTAAGGCTGAACAGTTTTTACTTATCACTTTGAGAGTGAAGAAAATTCCATAAGTTTAAATTTCTAGACAGAGATTACATGATCTCTTTGTAGAGGAGCTGCATTGTGCAAATGGCCTTTGCTGACATTTCACTGCGGTGACAGAGTCTGCATAAATGCGACCCTGTCCAGCCAGGCAGAGAACCCCGCCGAGAAGGGGCCTAAAGAAGGCACCTGGTCATCAATGACTTAATTTCAAGGTCACAGATTGCGAGCTCTGAATTGCTGAAATCATATGCACTCTAGCAATTCAAAATGCATCTTATTAGACATGCAATTTCATTAAGGCACATTCTTGAACTGTTAGAAAGAATAACATGTCAATAAGATGATTCCAGTGGTTGTTTGGGAAAGCGCGAAATTTATTGAAACATGGTGTCTATTTGTAGGTCAAACACAAAAGGACAAGTTTAAGTGCATTAGGAAAGGAGCAAAACGTGAAGGACCATGACTGAGTATTAAAATGCCAGGTGTTTATGAAACTTAAGAGTCCTATGGAGACCAAACATGTGAGGACAAGGCAGAGGGGCCTGGACGTGCCCCAGTGAAATGACACAAGCAGCATACAGCCAGAGCCAAAGGAAGTGTCACATTATATATAGGACCTCCAAGCCATGATGTCTTTTCGTTAGAAGAGGAAAGGAATGGTGCAAGTGCCACGTGAGAGCGATGGCCGTCTCTGAAAGCCATGTTCAGTGCCATGCACAATGAGCCAGGGAGTGCTAGGGAAGTGAGATCTAGACTTAAAGCGAAGTGAGCCCCTTGGCTGCCAGGCCATTTTCTGGTAAGGGACTGCAGAAAGAAAGGCTTTGGAACATGACTCTCACAAAAACACGACATAGCCTAGAACGGGCTAATACCATTTCACACTTGAACCTTGAAAAGCTCTGTTTGAACCCCCCAAATACACCATATGCTATGCCACCAACTTGATAGCTGGAAGTCTAATCGGGGAAGATAAATGAGTCATCACAGGAAGCATAGAGGAACAGATCAAGACTTGGCAGTGGAGCCAATGTTCTGTGACCTAAGGCTTATATAAATTTTACAAACCCTTACTATAGAATTATCTAAAGAATAAAAGACACCCCCCCACACACACATTTCATCATTCAGATTTGTTTTAAGCATGAAACTCCAATAGCGTTTATAAATTTTATAAAACCTTACTATGGAATTATCTAAAGAAAAAAAAGACACACACACACAGTCATTCAGATGTGTTTTAAGCATGAAACGCCAATGGCTTTTGAGAATGTACATGAATTACGAATTCCAGGTTAGGTTGTAGTCGTGTGGCATTTAAAGATATCTGGGACTTTGAAAGATCTCTACCAAAAGTCATGCACGTCCAATTCACCAAAAGAGCAGAGGAAGGGAAACAAAAGGTACCCACAAAACTCTGAAGGTGTGGCTCCCATGTAGAGGAGAAGCAGAACTGGGGACCCTTCAGCCTCGTGAACTAACCAGTGATCTGAGCTGTGACCCCACCAGCTGCACTTCTCTGGCACAGAGGGTGGCTTGCCATATACTTGTGATTAACTGGGCTGGTAGCCAGAGCTGTTTCTTGTCCTTTTCTCATATTTCCAGAATTTGAGGCATTTTGCCTACATATTTTCACACAATGATGCAGAGTAGAGTCCACCCACTGTGAATAAATTTAATTTAGCCGTTTTTATGCCTCCCTGATTTTCATCCACTTAGAGTCTTCAATACAGGGACAGATGTGTAAACTGGGAAATCTTCCAGACTTCTTTGTTGTTGTTGTTGTTGTTATTCCACTTAAAGCTGAGCCACTCAACAATACTCCACATGAAACAGGACTCGTGTCTGAAAACATGCTTCCAGCCTTACTGGAGATAAGCTCACCATTCACGGCGGACTGTGAGCCACGTTGCGGGCCGAGATGGGTGCGCTGCTTTTCTGTCAGAGTGCTGCAAAGAGCAGAATAACATCACGTTTCAAGGGAGGGTCTTTTTGTTCAGTGTGTTTTCTCACACTTGAAATCCCATTACCATGTTCTAGTGTACCAAGCTATGGCACATCTTTCCACAGATGACGTAGTCTCAAGTGCCAAATATGCACACAGTAACAAAATTCGATTCATGGTACAAAAGGGAAATTCAGCTTTAAATGTTGCAAATCTTCCGACTGTGTTCTTACTGAGTTACAGCGCTAATGCTCAAAAGGTGAGGGCCAGGCCTTTCCACTTGACTTTTTAAAAAGTCACCCCGGTTACAGCTTCCATATGCTCTTTGGATCACTTGTTTTGTGACACCAACAAGCAGAAGATAGGCCTTTTGAATGCATTGTTCTGGTCCACATTGCAAGTGGTACCAGGCGCTAGCACTCCGTCTCACACAGCGTATGGCAATAATTGCTTCAGTTGGCTCTGAAGTTCCAATATGAACTTGTGGTAGTACACCATTAATGTCTGCCTTTTTTTTTTTTATAAAGGAAATCCGTTTTTAGTCTCACTGTTAATTTCACAGCTTTTCATTCTTATCGATAGAATGGGAGAAAAACTACCTTTCGCCCAAGAGTTGAGGCAAACTGCATAAGGGACAGATGTGAATAACTCAGGACACGGGTTGGCGGCTGTAGTTGAATTTTTTTCATCCAATTTGGCTCTGGCTGGCAATATTATGCTCAATGACAGAGGTGGAGGTATCTTTCAGGTTCATCTAAGTAAAACTATGTTTCATGTTTTCATTGGCACATAGCCTTCTCTGGTTTTAATGTATCGCCCTCCTTTTCCCAATTCTGTAGTTGAAACCCGATGAAAGGATCATCAAAACCGAATACGGGCTACTGCTGCGCAGTTTGCAGAAGAAGGACTCTGGCATGTATTACTGCAAAGCCCAAGAGCACACTTTCATCCACACCATCGCGAAGCTGACTTTGAATGTCATTGAGAACGAACAGATGGAAAATACCCACAGGGCAGAGAACGAGGAGGGGCAGGTCAAGGATCTGTTGGCTGAGTCACGGTTGAGATACAAAGACTACATCCAAATCCTCAGCAGCCCCAACTTCAGCCTCGACCAGTACTGCGAGCAGATGTGGCACAGGGAGAAGCGGAGGCAGCGGAGCAAGGGCGGCCCAAAGTGGAAGCACATGCAGGAAATGAAGAAGAAGCGAAACAGGAGACATCACAGGGACCTGGAGGAGCTTCCTAGAGCTGTGGCCACGTAATTTTCTATTTAATTTAAAGAAAAGGATTCTTTATCTGCAAATATACTGTATTCTGATTTGTACATCCCTTACACTAACGCACAGAAGCTTCCGAGGAGTTTTGCTACCGCGCAAGGGCAGTCATCGGAGTAAGATTTTACATGGTGAAGATGGGGTTGGATGGGTAGAGAATTCATCGGAACCAGTTTTCCAAGAACTAAACTTGCAGCTGCAAAGTATAAGAATCATCCTCAGAATAGGAGTTTTACATTTGTAAATGTGTTTTTGTACTTTGAGTTTTTGTGTCATGTAAATAATTGAGTTAAACAGCATCCGATTCCATATTGTAACAGGGTAGTTTATTTTGCCTGCATACCTGTTAAACCTGGAGTTCTGTGTTTGAATGGACAAATACGCCGTTTTCGCTAGAACTAGCGACCTTGTCGTGAGAATCAGAGAATCCAGAAAATTCAGAAACCTCATTGTCCACAGCACCCTTTGGAGCCAGCACTCTTGGAGGGCGGGGGCGGGGCGGGGCGGGGATTTCAAAGATGCACTGCTCTTTGTTGCAGACCCCAGGGGCCTTTGGGACACTGAGTACTCTAGGGTGCCCATGCTTTTCCCAGGATTCCTGAGCAGGATGTTTTCAGAATAGTTGCTAAGCACTGCTAGATGCAATCCTTCACAACATTTTAGTGTGGCATCAGAAAGTATTTTAATAAGAAAAGGGAACCATCCTGGTGTAGTCTGCATCTTAAGGAGAAGGCTCTCAGATGGGGTTGGTTAGGGCCCGGAAGGGAAAACAGTCAACTCTGGCTTTGGAGAAACAAACCTCAAGTCCCCAAAGAAAGGAAGAATGATCCCAAATAAAGAAAGTGAGATGTAAGGGAACTTCATTCACTAGAGTTAAGTAGCAGTCATTTGCTATTCATCTTGCTTTTGTTTTTCTCCAGGCCAGCGGTTCTCAACCTGTCTCCCGATTCACAGGGGTCTCCCGATTCATAACAGTAGCAAAATTACAGTTATGAAGTAGCAACGAAAATCATTTTATGCTTGGGGGGGTCACCACAGCATGAAGAACTATATTAAAGGGTCGCGGCATTCAGAAAGTTGAGAACCACTGATCTAGATGATAATAAACCTCTATCAAACTTCTGAGGGAAATAATTTTTCTGAAGTATCATTACAGAATGATCAATACATATCTTGCTGACACTCAGTGGAATTTCAGTTTATACTTCCTGTCCTTTTCAAAGGCTTTATCATCACTTAGATTATTTGAGTATATTTTAAAAATAGGGAAAATCATATAAAAAAGAATGAGCTAGATGGCAGCGATGGGAAGTGGAAATAGATGTATTTGGTGACTTAGAGGAAAGGTGGCATTTTGATAACGGAAAGGGTTTAAATGAACTCTTTGACATCTTTTCTTCACACTCCCTTTTGCAATTCTTAGTTGAAGTTACAAGTCAAATCACATTTTATTAGTAACTTAATAATGAGCCTGCATGCAAAGGAAATAAATCCACATTAGAATAAACATCTTTCTTATTTTGATAGCACTTTCAAATATTCCCAAGCTGACTCTCCCCCAGCCTCCACAGGGCATTTCCTGCCTGCTTCAGCAGCACTCACCTTGCTTTCCTGCAACACACTACTCACAGCCTTTCTGGTGGTGCCTGTTTCACGCCCTGTTTAGTATGAAATGGAAAATTAGTCACTTCCTTGGATGAAAGGAAGCTTTTCTGAAAACTCAAAAACAGCCGTTGCTCATTTCTCGTGCACCCTACATACTTGGAGAGAAAAGTCTGTCAAAAACCTATGTGATTAGAGAGCAATTCATTATAGAGTGAAATATCACATTTGTAATTCTGGCTTTCCATGTGTGGTATGGTGTGCATTGCTATCATTGGCATTAGTTACCTGTCTGAAATTCATCATTGATATGGGGGATTGCTCACCATGAGGCGTTTCGGGTACATGTTTCACTGTAGGAAAAAATTAAGGAAGTTGTTATATCTTTAGTGAACCCAGTGAATCATTCTTTGATAGTAAAGCATAAGAGTAACTGTGGCAGAATGAGATTGACTATTGAATACCATGACTAGAGTGTTTTTGACTATTGACTTGCTTGGTTACAATATTCCAAAAATTCATACCAAGCTTAAAATAAATGAATGGAGCACATCTTGTTCTTTAAAAGATTTCCAAATACTTGCATATCACACAGTAATGATCAAATTCTGGATAGCTTTGGAAAACCTAGGTCCTTGGGTGCTACAAACGGTTTGCATATGACTGTAATCTAAAGGTTGGTTTGAACTCACCAACCCACTTGTGGTGAGAGCTGTGGAATCAAGGCCTAGTGATGTAGTGATCTATTTCCACAAATATTTCAGCCAAGAAAACATACTTCATGGAACTGTTCTACTCTGTAACACATGAGGTCACCATGAGGTGGAATCAATTTGACAGCAGTGATTTTTGTTTTGTTTTGTTACTTTGGAAAAAAGTATATGAAGCTCAAATGTTAGCAATGACTTGTGAAAATAAATAGAATTTTCATCAAAAATATGAATGTCCAAGCCATTTTTTGAAATTACTACTTTATAATCCTATTTACTCAGACAAATGTTTAGAGACTTATGCCTTATATTTCAGGACTTTAATACCCTGTCTACTTGTGATCTATTATAGTATTAAGATAATTAATAAGCCTATTAAGATAATTACCTAAAATATTGGAAATGTGATTAATAAAATTAAATGCTAAATAATAAAAATTCAACATCTGGGCAATGATTTCATTTTTATAAAGATGGAGAAAATAGTTTCTTATAACATTTAAGTGAACATTTTACATACAAATTCATGCTTCCTACCAATGAATGCTTTTATAACATTTGCTTCTAAATCAGGAAGAAGAAAATAATAAGAACAATTTCCATTGGCCAGCTATATCTTTATTGAACTACATTTTGGAATTATTAACCATTTTGTTTGACGTGGAATATAAGCACTTTGTGGGTAGGATTAGGTTGTATATTCCTCTCCTCCCCTTTCTCCCATGACCCCTGGCACAGTGCCAAGAATCCTGTACAGTCCCATTGATTAAACATCATAGAATTAGATTCCAAATGCATTGTTTTCACTTAATTCTCAATGAAAGCATTACAAAAAGTGTGTGGTAATTTATGGTTTGGTTTTCATAATGCCAGAAAGCCTGTTCTCAGAATTAGATAGTTGTAAAGAATTATTGACATAGTCTTGTTCTACTTAGGTGCCCATCAATATTTTCAACGTTGAAGCTGATCCTCCTGGCTGCTTGAACACCATGATCGACAAACAGTGCATTGAGAGACCTGATAGGCAAAAGCTTGGTATTATAGCAACCCACTGAGGCAGCAGACATGGAGCAGTGCACAGGTCAATCTTGGGGAAGGGTACCATTTTCTTTTCTTTAAGAATATTTTAGTTGTTAAATCTATACCATAATTATTATGCTGTACTCATCGATTGTTCAATTGACAGTTTAAGAACAACAGTACTAATTAAGAGTCTCACTCTTATTCTGAGCAGTACACGTGATCATTTACAAATTTGTCTTGGCCTTATCTCCAGTGATGTTTGGTTTTGTCTTTCTTTCAGGAACTGGTTTTTAAAACCTGTTTTGGAATCTCACAGCATGCAATCAAGTGAGAGCATTCTGTTGGAGGATCTAGTGGGTTTCTATATGTCCCATGTATTCATTCATTGCTATCGAGTGATTCTGACGCCTAGCAACCTTATACAACAGGGTAGAACTGCCCTCGTGGGATTTCCAAGACTGTAACTCTTTTTTTTTTTAATCACTTTATCAGGGGCTCATACAACTCTTATCACAATCCATCCATCCATCCATTGGGTTGAGCACATTTGTACATCTGCTGCCATCATCATTCTCAAAACACCCTCTTTCTACTGGAGCCCTTGGTATCAGCTCCTCGCTTTTCCCCCTCCCTCCCCCAACCTCCCTTCCTCACAAATCCTTGATCATTTATAAATTATTATTATATTTTCATGTCTTACACTGTCTGATGCCTCCCTTCACCCACCTTTCTGTTGTCCATCCCCCAAGGAGGGGGTTATATGTACATCATTGTGATCGGTTCCCCCTTCCTCCCCCACCTTCCTCTTATCTTCCTGGTATCGCTACTCTCATTATTGGTCCTGAGGGGTTTATCTCTTCTGGATTCCATGTGTTTCTAGCTCTTGTGTGTACCAGTGAACATCCTCTGGTCTAGCCAGATTTGTAAGGTAGAATTAGGATCATGATAGCGCGGTGGGGGGGGGGGAAATAGGGGGGGGCCCCCCGGAATGGTGGAAGCATTAAAGAACTAGAAGAAAGTTGCATGTTTCATTGTTGCTACACTGCACCC